ATCAACAAATTATGAACGGACTATAGTCCGATACTATTTGAATTCACACGCCTGTGCTTATGTATACTGTTTGATAAAAATGTGAAAATCTCATAATAAAATTTTATAATGGATTTTCATGAAGTGTTGGAAAATTTCATCATATATATTTCATCATCACGTAAAAGGGTTACCTAGTTTTCCTCAATTGTATGTCATACTGAAATCAAACTGTTGCCATACTCTTTTACTGCACCGACTTTATCGTTAGAGTCCCCACAAGTTGTCTCACTTTGTGTATGCAAAGAGCAAACCCTTTTTTTCTATTCGCTACATCCTCCATCTCACACAATATTACATTAATAACCTTCAAAACTAACCAGCTCATGTCTATCGGTCTAATATTATCTTCCAAAAAGCACATAATTCCTTCCAACAGTTCTTTCTCAAATAACATTCAGAAATTTCATCATAATGTTTCGTAAACTTTTGCAGCCCTCTTTATCAGCAATAGCCCTTTCGGAAAGTTTCTCCAGAAGGCTATGCTTATCACTGAAACCCATTAGACAAACAAAATATTTCCAACCCCCCAAACGTAAGAGCAAATTTTTTGTATTGCCCAAAGGTAGTTAATCTCAAAACTCCTGACCAGATTTCTCTTCTATATAGAATTTTTCAAATTCCTAATCATAATAATAATAATAATACTACTCTCGAATCTTAAAATAATACCGGCTTACCCCACTAAGGCAGAAATCTTAGCCGCACAGATGCAGAAGGCTGTCATTCTTGGCTCACTGCGCTTACTCAGGCCACATGATTCTCGGACCCAATTATCACTTACCCCACGTTGTGGGGAGTGGTCATTGGTTGATAATGCTGGCGCGCCCTCCCGAATGTATCGGGGCTTCGGGGGATAGGGCCTGACCAGTGCACACTACGGTCAAAAAAAATGAATAATAATAATAATAATGTATTTTATTTACCAAGGTAAAAAAGAAAGTACACAAAGGGGAATAGAACGGGTTTGGTAAAATCCCAGAGCGGAATTCAGGAGACATGCGTGAGCAACACGCCGAATCCTGCTCTTCCATTCAACTCCTTTACAATATACAAAACTTCATCCAACATATAATGTACAAAAAATCATAGTACCTATGTAGTGAAGAGAGAGAGAAAAAGTTAAATAAATAAAAGGAATAAAAGAGGGGTTATTCATAATGCTTACAGAATGACTTGAATTTTTGCATTTTATTCGAAACTCAACTAGGTTGCCTGCCATTTCGTACCTGCAAATTAATATTACTCCCGCTTGTCACCTGACCAATAATTCAGTCACTCAAAAAGTAAATAAATGAATTGACAACACCTTTCTTTCAACAGGATACATAGGAAAAGAATGTGGAAAGCTGAGGCAGCTCATAGCAGAGAAAACTGACAAAAGAATGAAGTTGATGAATAGTTTAGTGTCTGGAATACAAGTCATAAAGATGTACGCCTGGGAAAAGTCATTCGAAAAAGTCGTCAATGCGGCAAGAGCTTCAGAAATCAACGACATAATGCGAACATCATATCGAAGAGCAATATTGTTGAGTTTCATGGTTTATATCCAGAAAATTGCCTTATTCGTAACTGTGACATGTTATTTTTTACTAGGTATTCAATGAATTTTTCGATAAAAGATAGTTGGTTGGATTATCCAATAGGAACATAATACGTAACTACACCTCATTATTTGCAGTCTTCATCATTCAGTATCTGAAGCTATAAGCATTTTTCAAAACTTATAATTCAAAAATGTTTCAATGAATTGTCAAATAATTTTTGAGAAGATACTAGATTTATCAATCACGTTTATTTTTGGAGAAAGGGGTTCTTGTTCACAGCCAGCTTTCAAATAGTGAAAATAAATGGATTCGTGTAGAAGGAAATATTAAGAGCACATAGTTGTTGGTTCACAGATGGATCAAAAACACCTTCAGGTTCTGGTGCAGATATTTTCAGTCGCAGACCCAGGACAGTGATATAAACCTGCCTAGGAACCTATGCGACTGTATTTCAAGCGGAAATGTATGCTATCGAATTGTGTGCAGAGACATTGGAAGAATCCAACCTCATACACACGTCAAAAAAATATTCTTGGACAGTCAAGCGGCGTTGGAAGCTCTTGGCTTCTACCTAAATTGGTAGCAAATTGCCAAAAACGACTCTCCTCGATAGAAAGATTTGACAGATTGTCTCTGGTCTGGATTCCCAGCCATGATGGCCTGGAAGGTAATGAGGCTGTTGACTCCCTCGCAAAGGAGGGTGCTGCAAGCAGCTTCATCGGACTAGAACCTGTTATTAGTATCGCTTTTGACTTTGCCAAACAAACATTGAGCACCTGGATGACAAAAAGATTTATGGACTTCTGGCAGAATCTACCAGGACTGACTCACCCTTATTCACCCTTCGAATCTTGGTAGCAAACAATTGTTGGACTATGGTAGGGATGAACTACGATGTCTGACAGGCCCTGAATCATCATATGCCGAGACTCGGACTGTCAGAAGACAGTATGTGTCACCTCTGTTGGAAAAATGATGAAACAGCAAAGCACATAATTTGTGCCTGCCACGCTGGGGACCGAATCAGGTTTTCAGAGTTTGGCAGAGCTACCATCTGACCTGAAAGACCACTCATCATACAAACTAATCGGCTTCGTTAAAAAGCTGAGTTTATTTGGTCGAGTGTGACAGATGTAAGCCACAATAAACCCTTGACCTAAGATAACCTGAGTGAATTCGTAATGAAAAAAATGATTAGAATATTTAGGATCTTGAACAGATTTTTATTAAAGATAATAACTTTCTCACAAGTATGAATCAGAACAAATCTGTTAATTCTACGAATAAGTTGTAACTGACTGAAATCCAATATTTCATAGTGAAATACATCTTTAATTTAGGACTATAATCACAAAAATTACATTATTGAGGAAATTTAATCGTGTACAACAGCAAAGACTGGAAAGAGCTACGGTTCTCGTGAACCCCTATTTCATACTATTCAAGAAAGAGATTGGAACTCAGAAAATAGTTTTTGTAAATCAATGTCTTCTTCGAAATATAATATCGGAGTACCAGGTAACTAGCCACAATGAAAGATGAGATAATCATTCGGCTATGCACTACTCAGCCTTGATTTGCCAGTAGTCCCAGGAATCACAAGATTTCGAAACTTATTAAATTGCCCAACTAAGGTTCAGTGTTGTTAATGAAAGTTGACGGCATAGTTGCAAAGCCAGTTTTATTTGTTAAGAATTCTATACAGTGCTAGTCAAAAGTCCCCTCCCCCCCTCGTATCTTTGGAACGGGTATACTTATAATAATGAAATTTGGAGGGTGGAAATAAACGGATGTAAGCTTCTTAACTGGTCATAACAGGTGACGCAATAGTCATAAATGACGTCACAAGGCCACTGTGACCAAAAATTTTGAATGGGACCCTATGGCAAGTGACAGCTCGTTTGAAAGGTATTGAAAATACCTATTCAGTCATACCAATTTTGTTTGGGTTTCGGCTGATTTTGATTGATAAATTGAAGAAATACGAAANAAACTCCACAAATAAAAGGCCTAAAAATAATGTATTTTGATTTTTCCGATATGAAAGAAATGAAAAACAAATGCTCAACGCAGTGAAATAAGATTGGTACTTTTGATGTAGGGTAATTACGGGAAAGACGGCCGTACGGGAGAGATGGCCAATAGAAAAAAGTCATCAATAGATGACACTAGTCATCGTTAAGTTCGGTTCGCATCGGCACGAGTAACAACTGCCAGTAGATTTTTTTGTCGAAAAAATAAGGAAACGGTGAGTAATTTGACTTTGATTTTTCATTATGCGAGTTAAGTAATGGGGTTAACATATTAAGTGATCACAAAAAAATTTTGAAAGTTATGTCCGTTTTCGTGCTTTCTCAGTGAAGTAATAGACTTACTTCTCCGGCGTTCACATCTCAAAATTACCCACTAACTTGAGAAATGGCTTCAATTACCTAATGTGGCCATCTCACCCGGACAATTAGGAGAGATGGCCATAGTATTCACGGGAGAGATAGCCATAAACTGTTATGTCCTAATTTTCATTAATTTTTAATCTTCAATATTTTCTACATATGCCGAACCAATACGTACGGAAGGTGGCTGCTGGTCGAGTTTAATGGAGCGAAGAAGATTTAAAAATGCTATGGAAGAAGTACAAAATCGAAGTATGATGATTTATAGGGCCCCTTTTATCTACAATATACCAAGAAAAACAAGGTTAAAACTAAATGATAACACTAAAGAACCTAAGGGACCGTCATCTACCTTCGGTACAGATTGTGAAAAAAGACTGAGCAAGCATATAAAAGACATGCAGTCAAGAGGCTTTCCTTTGACTATAAATGATTTAAATGATTTAAGAATAATTAAATTCAAGTTTGCTGAGCAATTAGGAATTAAACATAGATCCTATAAAACATCTGAAAAGGCAGGCTATAAATGGGTGAAAATGTTTCTGAAAATTAATTCCGATATTTCATTAAGGAAATCAGTAGGGGTGTCATACGCTAGAAGTCAAGGGATGAATAAATCAGATGTAAACGCCTATTTTAAAATGCTTGAGAAAACTCTCAGTGATAATGACCTAATGAACCTGGCCATATTTATAACATGGACGAGTCTGGATTGCAGTTAAATAATCGGCCAGGTCATGTTTTGGCTGAAAAAGGTTCCAACCTCTACAGAAAAAGGAGAAACGGTAATGGTAATTGGTTATTGTAATACTGAGGGTAATTTAATGCCTCCGGCGTACATTATGAAAGGACAACGAAAAAAGCTGAATTCGAAGATGGACTGCCTCCAGGTTCGGTAGTTTATATGTCACAAAAATCCACCTATATAACCTCCGACATATTCATGCAATGGATGAAATCGCATTTCTTGCCACGAAAACCAGATGGCAAAGTGCTCCTTTTCCTGGACGGTCATTCTACACACTGCAATTCAGTTAAAATGCTGGAGTTTGCTAATGATAATGACATCAACTTACTCTCAATGCCGTCACACACATCCCATTACCTTCAGCCGCTGGATGTTGTATTCAAGTCTCTCAAAACTTACTTCTATGAATCCTGCAGGTTATGGATGAGACAGTACCCTGGACGTACTCCACGAAACAAGTAAGCATTCTTTTGACATCTGAAAAGCATATTGAAAAAACGGAAAATGAAAAAGAAAATAAGGAACAAAAGTCAAAAAACCAAAAATAATAAAAACAAATATTGAGACTGATAAACCTGAGAAAAAAGACTGTTAAGAAACTAAAGGTAATTCGTAGGTTGTCTGATAGCAGCTGCGAAAAAATTCCCATCGTTTTCAATGATACCTCTGAAAGTGAAACTGAAGACAGA